GAAAAAAAGGGCGGGGGCAGGAAAGAGGGGGAGCCATTAGCCATGCGGTCATCCAGGTGAATCTGAACCTGGCTCTCTCCTCATCACCGCATGCTGCAAGAGTGCCCTGCCTCCAGAGGAAACAACAAGCACCTCTGGACGATGCGAGCGAGTAACCTACTAGAGATCCGATCAGATATTTAGCTTCAGTAACTGAGATGCGTGTTGAAACGGCTACCTCAGCCACCCTGGTTTGCTCTATGGGATTCCTCTGATATTCCTGTAAGATTTCTTGATATTGCTCTACCTTTTACCCTATTTCCGCCCTACCCCTGTCATCAATAAAGTTCTCCTTTGAGACCGGTGTGGGAAACTTATTGAGGGGTGGGTCTAAATTATGCCAAGGAGGCCCCTGAGGTCTGTGGACTAAGGGAGGCTTCCTAATCAGCCCCTGACTTGGGGAAGTGCCCCAAGTGCTTGTATTGGGTCTAGCACCCATCGGACGATCAGGCCTGTGTTCTCCAAGGTGCGCAGAGCCAGAAGTGAGTCCCGGGCCTTGGATGGTGGCAGCGGGAACCCCAGGCTAGCGGGGGTGCCCCACGGAAGGGGTCGGCCGGACGGGAGGCACCCCAGGGAGGCACTCGGAGCCTGGAAGGTGGGCGGGCGCAGGGAGGTGGGCGGCTCAACGCAGGAGCGCCCCCGACTGGCCCGCAACAACCCGAATGAGAAATGAAAGGGGTGAGTTTGGCAGTGGCAGCTCAAAATGAGGGTCTTGTACCAGGTCACCTCCTTCAAGCACAGCTGGGACCTCCTACACTGACACTGATAACTAATGAGGAGGACAAGAGATGCCTACTAGGAACACAGGAGCGAGAAGGACCATCGGCTCCACTCCCTCGCATAAACAGGAACAAAACCACAGCGCTCAACAGAGCGAAGCCGACACCAGGAATTAGAGCCAGGAGTCGGTGCAGGCCAGGTGACATTATCAAGTAATTACATAATTCATCTTCCCTTTCAACTGACATCTCTGATTCGGGGTGCACTGATCACCACCTTCCATCTTTTGTAGTCATGGCAAAGCTGTGAAATATCCACTCGTCTTTTAATTACTGCACCATCTTGCCACACTTCCAGAGCTGGCTTCTTCTCCGTCTTCCTGGTTTTCTTTCTGCTCCCAACTGCCAGTCTAAGCACCGAACCGAGCTGTTTGGTAACGGTCACACGGTGCATCCACAGAGAGAGTTTTCTCTTTTCCAAGTGTCCCAAGCAGTTGTGCTCTGTCTGCAGTCGTCTCTCTCAGCCTCTCTTTGCTGTGGTACCGAACATCCCCAGTGGTATCTAACACAAGGTCTGCCAGGCATGCTTGAGCAACCCTTGCAGCAGCAGGATACTGAGCGCCACTGTCCCTCGGCTTTACCTGCGGCAGGTTCGGTTGTGCGACAGAGTCGACGGTCTGCATAAGACCTGTCATGTACCGGGTCAGACCACAGGTCCATGCTGCCGAGGCTCCTGTCACACAGCGGCAGAGTGTGGACGCTGAAAGGAAGAGTGAACTGGCTCTCCCCAGGGTTTTTCCACTGCTCCTCTCTCCCTTGCCGCCTCCAGCACTGAAGGTCTAGGAAGCTCCGATTCAGAGGCTGCATCCCTAGCTCCCATGCTCAAGAGCTGCTGATGCCCCTTTCCTCCATTAATTTGTCCAACCCCTGTTTGAATCTGACTAAGCTGTCAGCTTCCACCGCATCTGGTTGCAAGGAGCTCCTCACTTCAATGAAATGACACTGGGTGAAAAAGAACTTCCTCTTACGAGCTTTAAACTTACTACCTGCTAGTTTCATTTTGTGACCCCTAGTTCTTATATTGCGAGAGACTGTAAACGGTAAATCCCTGGCGACTTTTTCTTCACCATTTAGTATTTTGTAAACACTTCTCATTTCTCCCCCTGTGCAGCCCTTTTCTAAACTGAATAGGTCTCTTTAGTCTCTCCTCATATGGAAGCCCTCCATGCCACTCATCATCCTTACTGCCCTTCTCTGGACCTTGTCTAGTTCTTCGATGTCCTTTCTGAGGCATGGGGACAAAAACTGGGCACAGTCCTCAAGGTGCAGACACACTGCAGATGTATAAAGGGGCACCAAGATGCTTGTTTTGTTCACAATTCCTTTCTTAATAATCCCCAACATGTTGTTTGCTTTTTTGGCAGCTGCTGAGTAGTTTTAGTAGTAGGTCAGACAAGGATTTGTATGGGATGGTTTGGATAAGGATGATCCTGCCAACTTTGTCCTTCACTGAACGTACTTACTGTCGTTGTCTTGGTTTTTTAACATTTATTAATAAATGTTAAAATAATTAGATGAGTTACGGAACAAAATTAATTTTCATGCAATTTGGGGGAAATTTTAAAATGCCTGTGCAAAATATGTGGAAAGCAACAAATACTATCCATTAAGTGTTTTTTTTATTCCAATTGATCAGGTTTCCATTACTTCTGAATTTCTCTCTCAGTAATGACAGATCTTATTAGAAATCATTTACCTGTAATGCAGCCTTTTGCAGCATTTAAGGAAAAACAAAGCAAGTCAGGTCAGCAGGCTACAGCAATTACTATAACTCCTGGTAATGGGTCACATAATTTGTGCCTTCCATGATCAATTAAAGATATGTAATCTTAGGGCAATATCAATCCCGGACATGCTTTGCTATTCTCCAATAGCCTGTTAGTATCCAGGTACTAACCTATCCCAGAATAGGATTTTTATCCTACTCCCAGCATATTTTTGTCAAAAAATGCCCTTTTTTGAGTCACTTACCTCATGATTGTTCCAATCTACGAGGCCTTCTGAAATCCTATTCAAAAGCCCATTTGTGAGAGAATAAAAAGTATTCTGGGATCTTTAAACCACAGTCCAATTACAGTTCTTCCATAGCTACGTTCATTGGTTCATAACCAGAGATTCCACTAGCAAACATTTACCCTCTCCTATTACAACTGTATAATCAATATTGACAGAGAGCATCAGTACTATCCACGCACTTGAAACGTCTGTAATTTTCCTAGCATGCTAAAAAGCAAAAGTTAGCGTAGTGATGAATCTGCCAATGAAACCATGCGCAGTTACTGGGTAGTTTTCACATTCCTGTTATTTTAAACAAATAAAATCCCACTTTCATAGAAGGCTCTCTGTTTATCTGCAAAGGTAGCTACAGCTCTTAACCCCATAATACTGTACTCATACATTTGGGCCAAATTCAGAAATGAAGTAAAACATGCATTTAGAAGGCCATTTGGGATACTCTTTCTATAGATACATATTTGACTACAACGGTTATAGAAAGCAAGAGGATAACTATGACTTGATGACTCCAAAATGTCCTGTGCCTAATAAATGAGCTGTCTCAGCATCCAAATGCATTACTTCACTAGAAGAGTGAAATATAATTATGGACTTGTCTGGTAATACTATCTGAACATCTGCAAACCAACGCTCCACTTAGTGATCCATAATTCTGTGTCGCTGCACTCTAAGGGCACTGCTTCTAGCTGTTGTATTGCAGGGCTGCTCTGCTGCAGAGGCACACCAACGGAGAGATCAATGTGTGCAGCCCCTCTCTCCCTTCTCTCTTTCACAGTCCTGCAAGTACCTTTTGCTGAATAGTGGAGTGTTTTTGCTCCATATCTCTCTTCTCCTTTGCAGCATCTACAGCCAAGCGATCCAGCTGTAAAAAGAAAGAGAAATGTGGCTCTTTAGACTTTGTAATACTAACAGAAAAAATACATTATGTCTAGATACTGCATGATTTTTGTTTTATTTACATAGCAAAGTCACGTCCCTTATCACAAAGCTTTACCTTTACTAACAACTATATCCTGTCAAAAGCATTGCACTGCCATCCTAAATTAACCAGACAAGTCTTCCCAATACAAAACCTCTGTGAAAGGTGAACATTTCCTCTAGGCTTTAAGAAAAATATTTCAAAAAATAGTATTATGGTGCCAGGACTGTGCAAATGGTACACCGCACCAAAGACATGTTCAGTTTCTGAAGAAAGGAATGACTCATGCTTTAGCTTTAGCTGCTCTTGCTGGCTGGCCCATGCAGCACTACTGGCAGAAGCAAAGAAAGCCAGAACGAGCGAATGCTGGCAATTTTTCCTCCACAGGGAAGGTGCGGGCCCAGCTAAGCTTTTATCCTGACAGCTATCACAGGCTCACTGACACAGCATTTGAAACAAGGTTCACAGCTCTTCAGGCTCTTTCAAGCACAGTGTAACAGCACTCTGAATGTTAGAGACTGTGCCACAGCCTAGAGGAGCTGGTTTTTATGCCGAGTCTGTAAAAGCATAACCATTTCAAACTTGCCTTGGTCAGACTGTCAGAAGAAGATACCAGCAGGATTTAAGGTTATTGTAAAATTATAACTGATGAGTACGAGCATTTTACCCAGAATTACTTGAAGTCATGTCTGTGAAAAAGCAACCGATTAAAGAGTGTTGCAAGATGGGGGCGTCAGAGGATAGGAAGTAGCCGACAGACGCCTGGGCAGGGTGGTCTGCTAGACAACATTCCAGACGCTGTTGAAAAGTGACGTGTCTCAGAGGTGTGTGCAAGTGGAGCTGGTCATCTGGGCCTGTTCCCCCACCTGAACTACGAGCCTTCCCCACTCTGACCACCAGTAAGATGCAAAGGACTCAGAGATGGCACTGCAAGGTGGTTTGACCTGCTACTCCGTACTGGTGAAGCAGACCTTGCCTTGCTCCAGCAAGGGCTAACGAGGCTGCCTGACGCAAGGCAGGGCTGTGGCTCTCCAGCGGAAGCTGAAGACGGTCAAGGGCAGTGGTGCTCAACCTTTTGGTCCAACAGGCTGAATAACCTCCGTGGGCCAGATCTGGTTGGTAGACCCAACCCAGAGCCCAGGGCAGGCACAGCGGGGTCCCATCCGGCTGTGCAGAGGGAGAAGGGCAGCCCAGCCCCAATCCAGCCACACGGGAGAAGGGGTTTGGCCCAGCCCCGAACCAGCCGTGCGAGGGGAGGGGGTATGGCCCGGCCCCAACCTGGCTGGGCAGAGAAGGGGGGGTGGGGGGTGCCGGCCTGAACTAGCTGTCCAGGGAGAGGGGCATGGCCTGGCCCCAACCCAACTAGGTGGAGGGAAGGGAGGGTTGCCCAGCCCCAAGCTGGGTGTGCAGGGGTACTCGGCTCCAGCCTCCTCCATGAGGCTTGGGATTCTGGCAGCAGGGAGGGATGCCAGCACTGCCACTGCTCCCCCGCTACCAAATTTCCAGACCCCGGGGGAGTCCCCATGGGCCAGACACAAGGCTCCATAGGCCACATTTGGTCCACAGGCTGGAGGTTGAGCACCCCTGGTAAAGGGCATGATACGACTGACAGAATCCCTCCCTATGCACCGATTTGATCCAATGACCATGGGTGAAAACCTCAGCCCCACTGTTACTTTTCATCACTCTGGAAATGCAAAGGCAGCAGAGAGTGGACACAACTCCCCACTTGAGATTTCCCCAGGGCAGGAGAGTCTCATGCCCAAATGGAAGCACTATGGCTACCTCCTCCATCACCCTGGGTGGCCCAGAGAATAAGTCACTGGCCTGAGGACTTGGGAGAACTGCATTCAGTTCCCTGCTCGGCCAGACTTCCCGTGTCATGCTGGACAAGTTGTTTTTTTTAGCTTCTCTGTGCCTCAGTTTCCTGCCTATAAAACAGGGACAACAGCATGCCCATACCTCAGAGAGATGCTGTAACTACACTTTCTAGACTAAGAGGCAGGCATGCACTGTGGGGCTGCAGGTTAGAGACGTACTTGAGAGAGGTAGGCAGAACCTCCATTCCATGGGATGCGTTGGAGATGACTGTCTGAAAGTATCCGAAACAAGCCCATGGCAGTTCTTAAATTCATAACATCCAATATAGGCACAAAAGTGGCCCTAGAAAGCTGTCCTGGGCTCCCTGCCTGCATCCATCCGTTCTCCACTGCACACAGCAGGAGATGAGCGTAGCATTGACTCTGGTCCTCCATCTATAATATCCTATAATGATATCCTCCCTCTTTTCAGGGAGAGTATTTTTGAGGAAATGCCCAGTGCAGAGGAGACATGAGTGACAAGGGGATGAACGTCTGAGGTAAAAAAGGCACAGCACACTTCGGGATTTTTTCAAATTTCTTGCCGTCGATTCATTTTTAACGTCTTTACTTGTGGGGGTGTATCACCTGGAAGCTACAACCAGGCAGCAGGCTCTGCTGCGTTACAGCTGTCCTGCTAGATGTGATCTGCGCCTAGGTCCCAGGTTTGTTCCCATTTTTGCTGTCAAGACAACACTGCCTTACCCCGCCAGCCACCCTCCACCTCCTGCAAGCGCTCCCTTCCAGGCCACGAGCAATTCTCCATTGCGCACTCAAGTCAGTGGCAAGCTGTGAAATGACTTGAAGAATAGGCGATGATTAAAAGCACGACTGAACCACCACAAACCATGTCCCAGACCTTGTGCCACTACTGCACAGTCTTCAAACAACACAGGATATTCTGTTTCATAATGCTCTGTTTATAGTCGATTATTTGACTGTTACATTTAAAGGGAACTAAACGTGCTTGCCTCGTTTACTAACAGTTTTCAAAACAGTCACATTCCAAGGTTGAGTTTTAAATTTTAAGAAGAGGTGCAGCTAGAACATCTAATATTGACAGAAACACCACATCGGTACTAGCCATTACTCGCATTTAAGCATTTTGCTGCAATTCTGTAAATTCATAGAGTGGTATTGTTCTGGGATGGGATAACTAGAAGGTGAAACAGGTCAGCCTCATTTCACCATGCTAGCTAGGTGATGTGTAAGAAATGAACTACCAGAGTGACGTCATGAAAAACATTTACTACATCTATCAAAGTTATCAAAGGGACTGCCAAAACCCTATACTTAAGGGCAAATACTCAAAAGCGCTCTATAAAATAAAATTTTTGATTGGCTTTCAGATTTCCCATTCCTGCTATCCACTGAAAGGTGATGCTATTGTTGAAAGCACAGGGAAAATCCATTCAGACAGCAAGTTCCTGACATTTACATGTTTCCCACTGAAAAACCTGCCATTTTTATCCTGCAGAGAATTAGAAGTTAGCTAACCTTGAAAATCAGCCTATAAATAGTACCCACTTTGCATCAAATTGGTGGCAAGCAATTGAAAATTCACTGATAAGCATGATTAACAGGTATCTGTTAATGTCCTCCAGAGAGCTAATGAAACCTCATTCATTTAGGAAAGCCATCATGTACTGCATTCTCTCTGACCTGTCAAAGGGGCTTCTACTAATGCAAACTGCAAAATAGCTATTTTAAATATCTCACTGAAACTCAACAAGCTTATTCCTAACAAAGAAAAATATTCATTTCTTTAACACTTGAAACAAAATAAGATAACAGATGGGGGGGAAACTGCAGCACTTCTACATTCTTTCCTCAGTCTTCGCTGCAACTATGATCTATACTAGACAAGCTATAAAATAGTTGTTTCCCCCAGCTGCCAGCCTGCAGACATTGTAATACGGTACTGTAACAAGATGTGAAGTTGCCCTGTTAACAACCTTACAGCAGGCATCGTTAACCAAAAGTGGCAACTTGACCATCCTCATTAACCTAATTGAATTGGAAGCTTCAGACCTAACTAGGACAATTTAAAACTGCAATTAAAAGGTAGCAAATTTCTTCCTCCTCCTCCCCCTGTTGCCGCTCCTTCTTTGAAGAAACAGGAAAATCACATGAATAAAACCTGTGATAGAGCAACATGAAGGTCCTGGAAATAATATAGAAAAGCATGAAAGCAAAATTTAAAAGGGATCCTCTCAACTGAAAACAAGATCACACACTGGTCTGAACCTTGTATCCACAATTGTTACCTGTCACTCCTATGGTAGTTCTATAAAAGCAGGAGAAATCAGGCAGAAAAAAATCTATTTGTTCACATCTTATAGCATCCCTCTATTTTTTCCCTTTCACTTTAATTTTGGCATCAATGCAGTTGTTCTGCTACAAACCATCAAAGGCCCAAAACTGACGTCAAATATAAGTCGTTGCATCATAGGATAGTAGGGCTGGAAGGGACCTCACAAGGCCATGTAGTCCAGGCCCTTGCTCAAGGCAGGATCAGCGCCGACTAAACCAGTCCAGCCAAGTATCCAACCATCCTGTCTAGGAAATGTCCAGGGATGGAGATTCCACAACTCCTCTAGGCAGCCTTTTCCAGTGTCTGACCACCCTCGCAGTCAGAAAGGTCCTTCTCATCTCCAACCTAAATTTCCTCTCTTGTAGCTGGAGTCCACTGATCCTAGTCCTGTTCCATATGGAAAGGCCCATCTCCATCTCCATCCTCTCTGTATTTACCCTTCAGGTAATCCAATGATTTATCAAACCCTGCTCAGTCGTCTCTTCTCAAGAGTACATAACCCTAGTTCTTTCAGCCTTTCTTAATAAGTTGGCCTCCCAGTTGCTCTCTGTTGAAGTCTTTGCAAGTTGTCCATACCTTTCTAGAAGTGCGTGGCCCAAACCTGGACACAGTACTCCAGGCAAGGCCTCACCAGTGACAAATAGAGCAGAAGAAACACCAACACCGCTCTCTGGTGCCAAAACAAGTTAAACCACACTGCCACAAGTTGCTTTCTACAGCAGGACAGCATGTCTACACCAACAGATCACACGGCTTGGGTAACCACCACGTTGCAGGTGAGCCTCCGTGTCGTGTACCCTGTGCGCTTCGAAGTCTTATGTATGCCGCTTTGCCTTGTCCCTCTGCAGAGTGAATTGTACTCAATTCTCCTGTCTGAATGAGGCCCTCATTCAGAAACATTTACAAATTAAAATGGAAACTAAAAGAAATGAAATTGTGACACCAATTACAAAAAAATGCAGGGGTATTTGATACCTGAAGCTAGTTTTTCCAATATTTATTTAAATTTAAAAGGTTCCAGATTAACTGTATCCTTTTATGTTTCTAACTGCAATGTTATGCCTGACCCACTACTACAGGTCCACCGCGCAGAGGCCCACAGCTAAAGCGAGCAGTCATCTATACTGAACGAAACAGCACCAGTCAGTTGCCTACAGCCCTACAGATTTCAATGACAAGGAATCAGTGTATACCAAGGGTGCTCAACCCCCAGCCTAGATCTGGCCCAGATGTCTGGATCAGGTTAGACATCAGTGGTTTCTACGGCTAAAATAGTATGACAGTTATTTGGGGCAGACTCAGCGTTTCACCCCTCGTAACATGCCAATTACCTCACAAAGACATGCTAGCAAACATCTTGGTACATCCATATTGAATCAAGTGTTTGTACCCCCTTAAGGAACTATTACAGTGACTGCCTTTTTTCCCTCGTATTATTCCCAAACATGTATTAAAATGTACTTTAATCCAGGATTGTACTTTGTTGTGTTACCTGGGCTCCAAGATCTTTCATGTAGGGCCCCAGTTCACTGAAGAGATCATAGCCTTGGTGGAAGAAAGTCAGATGGGCATACATGAAGGATAACATCTAAAGCAAAGAGAAAGGATATGTTAAAATGCAACTTTAAATAGATGGCTGCCAGCTTTCACGTAAGTAACTCCTACTTACTGAACTGTGACTTGCAAAAGAGCTTAAGGAAAGCATGGGGCTTAACTGACCAGCCTTGCACTTGTATCAATGAATACGCATGTACAGTGAGTTTGAATCAAACGTATAGGGGTGGTAGCTTCCACCCACTCTGTGGTCACTTGGCACTCGGGGAGGTCAGGAAGGGATGACAGGGAACAGATCTGGATATGCCCTGTTCATATGCACTCCGTCTTAAAGCATCTACTACTGGCACTGTTGGAAATAGGGTAATGGTCTAGGTAGACCATTGGTCTGACCCTATATGGTGCTTCTTATGTTCTTATGCATTGGCATAAATGATAACGCAAAATTCAAAGAAGCAAAGTCAGGCCTGCACCCTCAAGTCTTTAAAAAACGGGTTAATAAAGTTATCCAACAGATCAAAGTCAACCTCACTGGAGGAAGTAGTGACTTCTTCATTCAGGCTGTTTAAAATCATTTTGTTAACAACTACATACCTCAAACACTTAAAACAAATGGATAGTACAGAATGGTCTGTCAAGCATTCATCAACATAACTCTAGGCCACAACTAAAAGCTTCGTGTTCCCTTTCCTTTGGGCCTCCAAAGATGACCTCTTTCCAAAAACAGGGAAAACTTGCATCAAAAAACAGCAAAACATCACACGTCGTTTACACGTCATTAGGAGGGGAAACAGAATAGGGAAGCTGTTTAAAGCAGTATAAATAAAACATGTTGTGATATGGACCAAAACCTTCACAGTTTAAAGGAAGTACAGTTAAGGAAACTGGAAGTTGGCCCTTCAGTTTTCTGAAGGAAACAAGCCAATTCAGCTGGCATATGGGGAGGAAAGGAAACAAGATAGGGAAGAAATGAAGGATATTGTTTGTGGTTATATGTTTTCTGGCACAGCAAATGTAGAGGAGGTGTAAAGCAAGTGCACCAGATTTGTGGACTGTGTTTTACTCAAGTAAAAACACAGCTTTTCAGGATGTGAGAGGCTCAACCTTAGAAACAGTTGGGAGAACTATTGTTTCTAAAGTCAGTGGTTCTGCACCTCCTTAGGCTCAAGGCACCTCTCAGAAAATGCCAGCTCTTGGGGGTTTTTTTTACTTGTTTTTTGGACTACATAAAAAAACTAAAAATTCTTCTGTTGCAAAGAACTAAGACAGACCACAACAGGTCAGAAATGTTTTTAACACTCTGGATTCCTATTTGAAATCTCTGGGTTCGTCTTGCGGATCGTGTTTTCACACATCAGTGCCAACATTGAGCGGTATCCCTTAGCACCCCTGGAAAGGTCTCAAGGCACCCTAGGGTACTGTGGCATCCTGGTTGATAAATCTTTGCTGTAAGTGAATGTAGTACTCCTGAAGACTGAAACGTATGGAAACCAAAGTTTTCAAATTTAGCCATAAAACACGCGCGGTACAGGCAATGAAAAGCAAAGCAATGTGCCCCAATCCTCCATCAAGGGAATCACCACTACACAGGGGAATCTGTGTCTTCATTGTGGCTTATACTTCTACCACTGCCAAAGATGACAGTTGCGCTGGTAGCTGTGAGACATGTGAACGGACAAATCAATTTGACAATTGTCACTGATCAGAGGGCAATAATTTTATTTTAATATTTCAGGTTTACTCAGACATGTTTTGCATATGACTATTAAAATACCTTACCGATTTTAAGATCTCTGATCTTCTCTTAGATTGAAGAACATTCATCTAGAAAAAAAAAGCATTTTGTTTCATTCCTTTCCAAATTTCTCACAAAAACAAATTGTAATAATCCAAGTAACCGCCTACGGTTAATCAAGTAAATTTAAAGCATGGGAAGAACTGAATTTAACATCTGACTCCTCAGAGCATTTTAATACAAAAGAAAAGATACGAACTACTACACTTACTTTCATTATTGTATCAGAGCAGCTGATTAGCTCAGCTGTTTAGAGCATGGTGCTAATAATGTCAAGGTTGCAGATTTGCTCTCCATATGGGACACAGGACCTTTTCTGCCTCAGCCGGGGGTTGGAGTAGATGACCTCTTGAGGTCCCTTCCAGCCCTGCTTCTCTATGATTTCTAAATGTAAACACTTAAGAAAAAAACTTGCTCAAAAATACTATTTTACTGGAATTGCATCTTTTATTAGCACAAAAATGTTAAAAGAGCTCTCATGTTTTGTTTTTAAAATCTAGTCACATAATGCCAACACGGGTCAGACAGTACAGACAGAAAGGCGACTGGGTTCTAACCTCCAAGAGCTCAGTCAAAACGTACCCACGTTACATTTCTTAGACTAACAGTATTTTGCATATATTTCATCTTTTAACTTAACTGAGGTCACTTGTGACTAGTATTTACAGAGTGCCCAAGAAAGCATCACTCGCATCTCCCCTTGCATGTGTAATCGCCGATATTCACATTACTGTATTCTTTCTGCCCTCTAGTCACTGATTTAATGCTATTTTACAAAACCAGAGATTTGATCCAAAAAAGCCTCACTTAAATGAGACGCGTATCATTTTGGAATTCATTTCCTCTGCTTATCTGTTCAAAGATGGCTAGCAAGTGAAATAACTTTACTGAAGCTGTAAGCAAGAACAGATGGTACTCCTAAAACAAAATATTCAGTGCTTTGGAAAGCTGCCTGAAACAAAAATGTGCTTTAAAATAAAATGCTGTATTGAACAAACCCTTAGCTTTCTGGATTTAAAAAGAAGAAAAAAAGACAAAAATACTAAATATAAATTCATTAATATGGCCACAAAACTGCAGCAGTGAGTCATATTTCCCCACCGCAGAAAAAGCTCCGTGCCAAGAAGCCTATCTATAACTGGAATCACGTGCACAGCGCACTGCACGTCTCGAATAGAAGCTTGTTACTTATTCTTTTAGCTTATGGGGTTGGAGCAAAATTCACCCGCACACCACATGCAACAACTTCTGCCCCACTTGTGCCTGTTTTTGAAAACTCTCCTCCACTCTAATGCCAACAAAAATTCAGCAGCGATTAGAAGCAGAGGTTCGTAAGACAGAAAAGGACCTGCTGGGTCATCAATCACAGTTCCTTGCTATCACAGGAACTGTCATGTAATCCCGCTAGGTAGCTGGTGTGCTGTGAGAATGGCTTGCTGTTAGGCATCTGTCAGCTTTTTCAATCTGCTATTTCCATCCTGGACTTAAACTATAAGCTCTTCAGGGCAGAGACATGACGAGGAGTAGTGCAAAGCCCTGCGCTTGGGACAGAATAACCACATGCACAAATACAGACTGGGGAATGACTGGCAGTGCAGCAGGGAAGGACCTGGCGTGACAGTGGACCATAAACTGAATCAGCCAACAGCATGCTCTTGCTGCAAAAGCCGACCGCAGCCTAGGCTGTATTAACAAGAGTGTCACTTGCAAGCCAAAGGAAGCAGTTCTTCTGCTCTATGTTCAGCACTGCCGAGGCCTTGCCTGATGCTGTTTTGGGCTCCCCACACTTCCAGAAAGATATGGACAGCTTGGAAAGAGTCCAGCATGGGGCAACACAAATTATTAGAGGCTGAGGAGTCAAGACGAATGGGGAAAGGCTGAAAGGACTAGGGTTATTTAGTCTGGAGAAGAGAAGACTGAGGGAGGATCTGATAACAGTTGTCAAACCCCTGATTATAAAGAGGATGGAGATGGGCTTTTCTCCGTAGCCGTAGGGCACAGAAACAAGTGCCTCATGCTGCAGCAGGGAAAATTGAGGGTAGAGATGAGGAGGAACTTTCTGACTATAGGAGTGGTCAGAAACTGGAACAGGCACCAAGGGAAGCTGTGGGATCTCCATCCTTGGAAGTTTTCAAGAGCAGGTTAGATAGACACTTGACTGGGATGGTTTAGTCACAAAAGATCCTGCTTTGAGCAGGAGCTGAACTAAATGAGCTTCCGAGGTCCCTTCCAGCCCTATTATCCTATGATCCTATGACATGTTCGCACACTGCAGCAGACTAGGACCTTGCACAAGCTCCTCTGAACACAAGGCTGCTCCACTCTTGAGCTTGGGCTGTACATAATAACTCATTTCACTTTTAAGGCCAAGAGTTTCACGTGCAATTTGTGCTGCTGACTATAGTGTCTGCACATGTGCATACTTGAATTAATACAAAACACTGCCAAGTTTGTGGTTTTTTGCTAGTTGTATTTAAAACTTGCATAACACTGTGCATGCAACCAAGATAACTGTTTAGCAAATTTAGCTTCTAAAACACAAGCCACTGATCTTTTATCACATCCACAAATTAAAATTTCAGTCAGCATTTTAAAGGGTGGTTCTGGGTTTATATTTATAAGAACACTGCACTGACTCATCTATGGAAGACGGACCCATAATGGCAACCAAAATGCCAGATTCGAATTAGTCAGGTAATCTGTAACCGACATTTTTACTCAAAACCTTAACGTTCAAACATTTACACCGACTTACAGCAAAATCAAACATACAGAATCCATTTTAACAGGTATAAAACCAGCTCTTAACACTCATTTGTTTTTAAAAGTATTTAAATAAAAATGGACATTCAGTGTCACTGTAACAAGAGCTTAACATACAGTAAAAGCGACCAGTAGAAGTACATAGGGTAACACATACCTATTTAAAAGGTCATTTGAAAATGAAAAATCAGTACACAAAAATCATTTGTGGACACAAATAACGTATTACTTACATGCTGCCAATGCATACAGGCATTGAGAACATTATTGCAGGAATTTCCAAAAAGCAACACAGCTCAGTAACTAGACACCACTTAATGTTAGCCTTACGCCGACTGTTACACTAACCTGAAGCACGTAATCCAGAGCGATGTGCCGAAAGCACTTCCGTGTTGCAGTCAGAATATTAGTTGCCTCTTCTACTTCATGTTGCTTGTTTCTCTGAACTTGGGCATTTTTTACTAACGCATTCTCTTTTTCTTCACTGACTTTTTCAAATTGCTTCTTTGCATCCTTAAATTTTCTAATATCTCTAAAGAAAAGGAAAGATGGCTTGAAATGCCCCTGAAAGCACATTTTGTTCACCATGGGAAGACTGTTTAAACATTACAGTAAATGGAAACCCATTTCTACACTGCTGTCTATGCAAGTATCCAATCTGGCCTTTTTTGGTTTTACTTGACTCATTAAATATTTGGATCAGATGTGCAGTATAAGTACAATGAAGTGAGGCCTTCCTGGCTCCTTGCTCCATCTCCCTTTCACTCTTTTCTCAGTGAAATTGAGAAAACAGTTCACCAACGGGGGGCTGAGAAAAGCCCTAGCAGAGCTTTACACGCGCTTCCAGCTCCACTTCTAATCCCTGGAGCACGTATAAAAAGCCAATGTTCTGGGAATGCGAGGCAGCCAGTTTAATAGAAAACCAAATAAGAAACACATGGCTGTTAAGTATCTTGGCAGGAGTCTTCACTGTAACTCCACAAAACCTACTGAATCACACTGCAGTGAGGCCTCCAAGAGGCACACATCATCTAGTCCACGCCAGGGAGGATAAGTCACGACTTAAAAAAAACCAAACTCACTCACATTAACATTTTTAACATTTTAAATGTTCTTCTACATCTCCAATTCTTTTGGAATTTAGAACTGTAAGAAATATAAAGTGGTCACTTCATACTTATTTCTTTAATTAGTTCCTCATGTTTAGTAAAATTTCCAATTTTACACAGTCAACTAAGTTTTAGATTTAAAACACTCATCTAAGCCAGACAAGACAGGGTAGGACCTCATGAAGTTCTTTGCTGTGAAAACACCCAAAGCTAAGATGCAATTTGGTTAGCAAATACTCCATGCGACGTTTAACCAGTACTACCTACCAAACTTGCGCATGTCTGGAACGCAGAAATGCATCAGTCAGGCTACGCTCCTCGCTCTGGGAGCACGGGCCAACATCAATGGGACCCATGCACCTACACTCTTGAGGCACGCCTGAAAAATATTAACTTTAGGTGCCCAAACATTAGCTGAGGATCCTAACCTGGGGATATAACTTTGGAAAATCTCTGTCTACATGAATGGAAAAGCTGACACACGTTCTGTTGAAAAATAACTATTTTCATCAGTAAATCTGAAGCAACAGTGCTTTAAAGTGACAGCACATTTATGAAACTAAGGCCCTGATAGTGCAAAGTCAGTGGAACTACTCCCAGGATGCAGTGTTAAAGGAGTGCTTAAAACCAGTGATTCTCAACCAGCGTGCAACGAGGCACTTTGAAGGGTGCTGCAATGTCCAGCCCAGGAGAGGAGGCAAGTGCTGGCTCCCTCAGATGCTGGGCACCTGTGCATGCCCGTGTCCTGGCAGCAAACCCCAGCTCTGGGAGCATGGGAGGAGCACAGACACTTTACAGAAAGCTGCATCTATAATTTACCTCATCACAGATATTTCTTAGGAAGCAACAGCATAAAGTTGCATTTTGTCTTAATGAAGACACCATCTGATTTGAAACCTATTACTTACCTTGTTTTAATTTAGAAATGGCTCCATCCTAATCCAACTACATACCAGCTTGTTTAGGTATGTTGGGCAGAACTGTTTATAGCAAGAATACTTGACAGTTCCCAAGAAGAATAGCTGCCCCGGCCACGTCAGAAGTTGACTTCCTATTTGGCCTTACAAAGGACTTTCCCCCTCTGTCGTCTAAACTGAATTGCTAAAAAGTAAAAATAAACTTACTCTTTAACAAATGTCTGAAGTTGTGCTTTAATTGATCTTTGGGTTTGATCAAACAGAATCTGAAAGAAAAAGAAAAGCCATTAAAAGGTAGCTCAAAGTATTTTGGGTTGTAGAAGTCTTTTCATTTCAGACGCAACGTTTAATAGGAAGTAAAACCTAACAGTTCTTCCTCATAGGTCTTCATCTGCCATTTCTCCGAAGGCTCTCAGGCCTCCTACAGCGGATTCTGCTTTAAAACTGCATTCCTCACGCTTCAACTGTTATTTAAAATGACAGTCACTCTCAAAATTAAAAATGCCTTACCTGAAAAAGCTTAGTAGACCATCACTGTTCAGCAAGATAATAGGACAGTTCCAGGTACTCCAGTAGTGAAAACTGGCTGATCACAATGATGTGTGCAGGTTTCCCTTGCTTTATGTGGGTTCTGTATGTGTGAATTTGCTCTTATGTGATGACCCTTCTCATACCATGAATTCGTTATATGCGAGGTAAATTCACTCTTATGCGATCGGTGTGGTGGAAGCCTGCAGTCAGCTGCCTTGTGCGGTGCCTTGTGAGAGTGACATGCACCAAAATATAGGCTCACGTGTAGATCTGTGCTCCACGCTCTTTGTCCGAGACATGTTTCTGTAGCTGCCATCCCCATTATGGTAACATTCACCACCACCACATGCTTGCGTGTACTGTCTGCTGTTGGTGAGTACCAAACTGTCTTGTAAAAGTGGTAGGAATGGGTCTGGGGGGTCAGAACAGCCATGGTCTTGGAGCCATATCCCAATTTGTTACATTGAAAGTGGGTTCCCTTTACGTGAATTCGAGTCACGTGCCGTTTTCCAGGAACACGTGTACAGCATAAAGCGAGGGAAACCCGTATACACAAAATTTAGAAGCACGAGACTGGGAAAAGCATGGTATAGGACCCCTGACCATGCATGTGGCCCTCCTCTGGACCCTCTCCATGCTGTCCACATCCCTCCTGAAGTGCGGTGCCCAGAACTGGACGCAGTACTCCAACTGCGGCCTGACCAGTGTCGCATAGAGGGGGAGGATCACCTCCTTGGACCTGCTCGAGATGCATCTGTGGATGCACGACAAGGTACAGTTGGTCTTCCTAGCCGCCTCCCCACACTGCCGGCCCAGGTTCATCTTGGAATCGATAATGACTCCAAGATCCTTTTCTGCCTCTGCGCTGACGAGAAGGGAGTTCCCCAGCCTGTAGGTCTGCTGCTGGTTCTTCCTCCCCAGGTGCAGCACCTTGCACTTGTCAGTGTTGAAACCCATCCTGTTCTCACCCGCCCACCCCTGTAACCTGTCCAGATCTAGTTGCAGCCTGTCCTGCTCCTCCAGCGTACCCACTTCTCCCCACATCTTGGTGTCGTCTGTGAACCTGAACAGGGTGCTTTTCACCCCCTCGTCCAAGTTGCTGATGAAGATGTTGACCAGTGCAGGTCCAAAGACCGAGCCCTGGGGGACCCCACTGCCCACAGCCCTCCAGGTCAAAAATGATCCATCCACCACCACTCTCTGGGTGCGGCCCTCCAGCCAGTTAGCAACCCATCTGACTGTGTAGTTGTTGACACTACAGGTGCCTAATTTCTTAATGAGAATGCGGTGAGAGACAGGGTCAAAGACCTTCCTAAAGTCCAGAAAGACTATGTCCACCGCAACACCTGCATCCAAGGATTTTGTGACCTGGTTGTAGAAGACCACCAGTTTGGTCCGACAGGACCTGCCTTGAATGAACCCGTGTTGGTTGCCCCTGAGCGTGATCTCCCCCGTTGGCCCCTCGCAGATGTTCTCCTGGGTAATTTTCTCAAACAGCTTCCCCAGGACCGAGGTAAGACTAATAGGCCTATAGTTTCCTGGGTCCTCCTTCCTCCCTTTTTTGAAAATGGGGACCACGTTGGCCCGTTTCCAGTCTTTCGGGACCTCGCCAGAGCACCACGAGTGCTCGTAAAGCCGTGCCAGGGGTCCCGCAATGACCTCTGCTAATTCCCTCAGCATGCTGGGGTGGAGGTCGTCAGGACCAGCTGATTTAAATACACCCAGTCCCTCCAGAAATTCCCTGTCTAGGTCCTCCCTGGCCCTGGCCCTGGGCCTGGCAGCACCTCCCCTGGGTCCGTTGGGGATCCCGGTGGGGGGGATGCCCTGGTCCCTGCTCAAAAAACTGGAAGCAAAGAAATGGTTAAAGAAGTTAGCTTTGTCATGTGCTGTAACCACCAGATTTCTTAGCATGTCTTCTGGTGCTTCTTATCTGATTTCAGGATATTAACTTCTTTCCAAAAACACACACTTAATGTGACCTAGGGGCTAGTGCAGGGGTGGGCAAAATACAGCTACAGGCTGGACAGAGCCTACGGAGTGATTCTGCCTGGCCCACAGCGGCACAGGCGTGACATGAGCCCAGGCCATGGCAGTGCCCAGCCCAGGCACGCAGTGGGGCTGGGGTGGTACCGCTGCCAGACCCCTTTTCCCAGCAGCAGCAGCTCCTCCTGACTGCCACTGCCTGGGCACCCCAGCCCATCAGCCCCACGCCCAGCGCCAGGGGCAGGCCCCACGCACTTGGCTGGGCAATTGGGATGGGGCCACAGGCCGGCAGGCAGCAGTGTTTGGAAGCAGGATGGGTGGGCAGGGCCAGAGTGACCCTGGGGTCTTAGGGCAGTGACAGCATGGGGCTGGGGCAGAGCTGCGATGCGCTCAGCACTTGTCCCTGCCCACAGAACCGGGGCTCTGCCCCAGGCCTGACCCTGCACCGTCACTGCCCCAAAACCCAAGTGTCTCCATGAGGACCGGCCAGGAGCCGAAGGCAGGGTTCTCCGCTGGGCAGATGTGATCAGAGCGCCCTGTCCACATGGCTCCCAGCCAGTCTCCATGGAGCCCCTGGGATCCTGGGGCAGTGACAGCACAGGGCTGGGCCAAAGCAGTGCTGTGATCTGTCCCCTGCATGCCCCTGCCGTGGAACCCACACCCAACCCTGGAGTTGGAGTACTGCGTGCAATTCTGGGCGCCGCACTTCAAGAGGGATGCGGATAGCCTGGAGAGGGTTCAGAGAAGGGCCACTCGTATGGTTAAGGGCCTACAGACCAAGCCCTACGAGGAGAGACTAGAGAAACTGGACCTTTTCAGCCTCCGCAAGAGAAGGTTGAGAGGCGACCTTGTGGCTGCCTATAAGTTCATCACGGGGACACAGAAGGGAATTGGTGAGGATTTATTCACCAAGGCACCCCCGGGGGTTACAAGAAATAATGGCCACAAGCTAGCAGAGAGCAGATTTAGATTGGACATTAGGAAGAACTTCTTCACAGTTCGAGTGGCCAAGGTCTGGAACGGGCTCCCAAGGGAGGTGGTGCTCTCCCCTACCCTGGGGGTCTTCAAGAGGAGGTTAGATAGGCATCTAGCTGGGGTCATCTGAACCCAGCACTCTTCCCTGCCTATGCAGGGGGTCAGACTCGATGATCTATTGAGGTCCCTTCTGACCCTAACATCTATGAATCTATGAACGCAGGGCCATGGGCAGCAGATTGGGGTTCTGCCCTGGGCCCCAGCCCTGCGCTGTCACCACCCCACGCCCCGGGCCTCGCCCACCCCTCCCAGGGCTCCTGCGGCCCCATCCCATATAGGAAGTTTTGGCAAGTTGCTGCAGGGGTGGGTTGGGGGGGGCGGTGATGACAGCCTGCAACACTTTAACAAGAGACCCTGCGGGGCCCGCAGACCCCAATAACTGCCCACCCCTGGGCTAGTGCATGTCATATGAATGCCTGTTTGCCAAAAGGGCGGCGTACGCCTGGTGGAAGGGGGGTGTAATCTCCAAAGAGGAGTATACCTCCTCTGCTCGGGCCTGCAGGTGGGCTGTTAGGAAGGCCAAGGCGGATATAGAGCTCGGATTAGCGTCCAGGATTAAGGATAACAAAAAGTCCTTTTTCAAATATATTGGGAGGATGAAGAAGGCGCCGGGTAATGTGGGGCCCCTGCAGGATATGCGGGGCAATCTGGTGGTTGCGTCAGAGGATAAAGCGGACCTCTTTAACCAATTCTTCACCTCCGTTTTCTTGTGCAGGGACCGGGACTTCCCTGCTGTGATAGAAGCCGGACGCGAGGGGATCACCTTCAGACCTCAGGTTGGGGAGGACCGGGTTAGAGAGCTTCTGGAGGGGCTGGACGCGTTCAAGTCAGCGGGTCCGGATGCTCTCCACCCCAGGGTGCTGAGGGAGCTGGCTGGGGTTATTGCAGGGCCCCTGGCACGGCTCTACGAGCGATCGTGGTGCTTGGGCCAGGTGCCAGACGATTGGAAGGTAGCTAATGTGGTCCCCATCTTCAAAAAAGGGAAAAGGGAGGACCCGGGCAATTATAGGCCCGTCAGTCTTACCTCAATCCTGGGGAAGCTCTTTGAGAAGATCATCAAGGAGCACATTTGTGATGGGCCGGCATCAGAGATGATGCTCAGGGGCAATCAGCATGGATTTATTAGGGGGAGATCATGTCAGACCAACCTGATTGCCTTTTATGATCAGGTCACAAAGGCCATGGATGCAGGTGTCGCGGTGGATGTAGTCTTTCTGGACTTCAGCAAGGCCTTTGACACCGTCTCTCACCCCATCCTAATTAGTAAACTAGGCGACTGTGGCATAGATGCCTACACGGTCAGATGGATTGCAGATTGGCTGAAGGGTCGCACTCAGAGGGTGGTGGTGGATGGATCATATTCGACTTGGGGGGAGGTGGGTAGTGGAGTCCCTCAGGGCTCGGTCCTGGGCCCTGCGCTGTTCAATGTCTTCATCAGCGATCTTGATGTTGGGGTGGAGAGCAACCTGTTTAAATTCGCTGATGACACCAAAATTTGGGGGGAGGTGAGCACGCTAGCAGGGAGAGAGAGATTGCAGAAGGATCTGGATAGGTTACAGGGGTGGGCAGACAGGAACAGGATGCGTTTCAATACGGACAAGTGCAGGGTGCTGCACTTGGGTAGTAGGAACCAGCAGCACACTTATACGATGGGGAACTCCCTACTTGAGAGCACGGAGGCGGAAAGGGATCTTGGTGTCATTATTGACTCCAAGATGAACATGGGCCGACAATGCGAGGTCATGGTTGGCAGGGCTAACCGGACCTTGTCGTGCATCCACAGGTGCATCTCGAGTAGAGCCAGGGAGGTGATCCTCCCCCTCTATGCGACGCTGGTCAGGCCGCAGCTGGAGTATTGTGTCCAGTTCTGTGCGCCCCATTTCAGGAGGGATGTGGACAACATGGAGAGGGTCCAGAGGAGGGCCACCCGCATGATCCGGGGACAACAGGGCAGACCCTACAGTGAGAGACTGCGGGACTTGAACCTATTCAGCCTCCACAAGAGAAGGCTGAGGGGGGACCTGGTGACCGTCTATAAACTCACTAGGGGGAACCAGAAGGGTTTGGGGGAGACGCTGTTTCCCCTAGCCCCTGCTGGCATAACAAGGAATAATGGGCACAAGTTGATGGAGAGGAGGTACAGATTGGACATCCGAAAAAACTACTTCACAGTCAGGGCGGCTAGGAGCTGGAACCAACTTCCAAGGGAGGTGGTGCTGGCCCCTACCCTGGGGATCTTTAAGAAGAGGCTGGATACTTACCTGGCTGGACTCATTTGAGTCCCGTTTTTGTTTTTAGGGTGAGTGGTTTTGTTTGTGTTTTTGGGTTGTTCTCCCGCCCTGGCGGGGGGTCGGGCTAGAAGATCTATTAGGTCCCTTCCGACCCTGAAACTATGAAACTATGAAACTATATAGCCATATACAAGGCTGGATGAGTGGACTATGAAGACTCAAGACATCCAGAAAGTATGGGCAATGCAATGCATATAAAAGCTTTATTGAAAAAATGCTTAAATGGTAGTTATTACCTGACTTGGCAGAGCTGGAAGACAATATAGGACCCTGCGCATTGTAGCTACGTAGTAAGTGGTTACATGGGCAAAGAACAAGTTCACCCTAAACTTCTCTGCAAGGAGCTGGTGTTCAGAGCAGTGGAAAATTAACTAAAACAGGTGACAGAAGGGAAGTCATGCACACATTTTCACAGCAGAGAGGGGCCTGCTGGTCCTGGGAAAGAGAAGTTAAATGACAGCTAGCACTTGATGAGGGCAAGGAAGAGCCCTGCCTTTTCTGACTACAAACAGACCCCTAACAGCTGAGAAAGGACTGGGGAAGGAGTACTCTGGAAGGAGTATTTCATCTTAGATACTACAAGTGAGAAGAGGGGTTTCTTTATATGTAGTTTTCTTATCTTCTTGATAATATAAATGCATTCCTATCCATGTAGGATATGATCATTACCATCCTTTATAATCCAATTGTTAAAACTGAAACTAAAGTTTAAAGAAAAGCAAGCAGTTACACTTTCCAAGCAACTTGGAAAATTCAAAGGACTATGAAAAATTGTTGGGGTAACGTGTGAGATTTTAAAACAGGCAGCAACTGGCAAAGATGAATGAAAATGAGCTTTTAAGAACGACATACTTGGGATTTCCCACAAAACGCTGTAGGACATTACCTGAATGGGGTTTTCAAAGAGGATGGAGCTGGACTGGTCTCAGTGGGGGCAGATGACAGGACAAGGAGCAATGGGCTCACGTTGCAGCAAGGGAAATTTAGGTTAGATATGAGGAAAATCTCTCTTATAAGGAGGGTGGCAAAGCACTGGAATGGGCTCCTCAGAGAGGTGGTGGAGTCTCCGCCTTTGGAGGTTAAGACCTGGCTAGACAAACATATTAAGAAGACTTCAGCAGTATTATCCAGTTCTCAGAGCACCAGGAATGGCCAAGCTTTACACCCAGCTCAAACACAACCTCCCTTTGGAAAAGTTACTCTGCTTCTTTGCCTCACTACTCCCCTCAGTCAGAAAACAGGGTTAATAACACTTACCAATCACAAAGGGTGCTCTGAGAAGTAGGGTACACACAAAACGTAGGGAGATGAAAAGCAGTTTCTTGGTACCTGTTCATCTGCCTGGTCTCACCCCACAGTAAGATGAACCTAAACCAAGGCAGTTTAACTCTGTTCCACTGATGGCTACTTGCCTTAGTGTTGCTTTTACTTGCCATGCAGTAAGAGGAGACAGATGGACAGGTCCCATGCAGCAAATGCCTGCTCCCTGCAATTTCACTGTTTGCCCCGTTAGTCAGTCAAGTAACTCTGAAGGGATAAAGCTATGCAAACGCCGAGCATTGACAATATCCCCTAGGTAAAACCCTTAAGAGCTTATCACTCCTTCCTGCCCCAAATAATGAAGAGAAACCTGTGGATGAGTGCTCCCCTTAACAAGGGTACCAAATTTAATGGGAGCATCTCAGAAAACTTGCATATTTTAATTCCCACTCTGTGGAATCAAAGAGCCGTGCAACTAAATGGTAGATAATATCTACTGCACAAACTGGCAACCAGGCTACAGCCACTCCTGCCACTGACATTTAAGCCTGCCAATGTCTGACAAAAGGAGAGATTGTGCAAATGAGAAGCTAGCACAAGAGGACAACCGGATGCAGAATTAAGAGATGAAGGGACACATGAAGCACACTGCTGGGCAACCTACAATTTTACTACAGTAACCTACAGTAATGTAGAATGAAAATGTTTAGCAAGAAAAATGCAAAGAAAACTACATTTGGGGTTTTTTTGTGAAAAAGTGAGAAACTGTCCACAAGGAGAGCTGGCCAGATTTACAGCTCTGCCTATACATGTCAGTGCCAAGCTTTCAGGGGCAGGGGGCCAGACACGATCATTTGTGGTCCCTTCCGACTCTACAATCTATAAATCCATGAATCTATGCTATTCAGACACCCAGCAATTCACAACAATACTGTGGGAGAGGTGGTGTTTGCCAGACATGCTCAGAGCTGCTCTCACGCCTCCAGGTCTCGAGCAGAGCTGCTCTATTCCAACACATGCTCATCTGAGGAGTGGAAAAGGTGGCAGGGGAGATGGATAGAGCTGTGAACCCAACCGTCACCAAATTAATTCTCCTGATCCTTCCACACAGCAGAACCATAGCATCTGTCTCCTTACTTTCATCTAGCAGAGGAGCAGTTTTCCTGAAGACTTGTCTGTCTGCTTTCTGCTACTTTTCCATCAAGCTGCAGTAAAGACTCTAGTGAAGATACTCGGTGAACACAGCCCCTCTGCATACAGGGATTCATCAACCTGTCTTACGACTCATGAGATCTGGACACAAGTGCCACAAATTGTAAGGATGAACAGGCAGGCAGCCAGAATGGTAAGAAGAGAGAGAAGCAAACACAGGAGATACTAAGACCGTTCAAGCTAACGTGCCAGCTGAGTGCCACGCTGCGATTTTCCCCCCACACCAGAACTCACAAGATGTCGTGGCTACTCCTGACCTTCCACATCCAATTCATACTAGCTGCACCCATGTTTGGTGGTCTTCACAGTGGATCCTAATCCCTCCTTTGCTTTCTCCTACGACCTCTCTCAATACTGCCCTCTTCCTTTATTTCTTCCCCCTCACCCCCCGTATCATTTTCCCCTTATCTTTGCACACTTTATACCTGAAATGCCTTCCCACCCTTTGTTCCTAAGCAACCTCCCTTTGTTCAAACTTTCTAAAACCTCACTCCTTAGAAAAGGCTTAATGGCAAACAGTCTTTATTTAATGTCCCCCATAGACAGTTCATTTCAATTGGAACCTGTGGACTATCCTCAGAGCCTGACTAGATTTTTAAACTCCTTAGGACAGAAGCCAAGGATCCCAGGTTTGTAAGAGGGCCCTGCACACCTCTGGCACTTAAAATGATTGGGAAGGAGTTTTAGTAGCTTTCCACCCCATCAGCGAAGAAATGAGAAAGAAGCCTGGAGGGAGAACTCAACACAATACTCCTTGCTCCCTGCAAGCAAGAATGAAGTAACTTCTAGAAGCTCATAATTTTGTATGGAGAAAGATGAAATCTGCCACGGTGCAAACTACTGCTGTGTTGCAATCTTGGCATTTTGTCCTTTTTCTCTGCTTGACTACATCTGTCACAGGTCCAGGGAAGGAAGAAGTTACACAAAGAGCGAGGGAAAAAACTGCAGCAACTTGTCTATGGAGAGGCAAAAAATGGAATGAAAAACAGTGGAGAAGCAAAACTCTAGTCTGGCAAATGGCTCGTCTCTGTTGCCTGTCAGGCTGATAAGAAAGGACAACCAGCCTCAAGCTTCTAGGTCTGTGTTCAGTTCCAGCAGCATATGCACAGAGCCATGTATTTCCACACAGAAGTGGGGGAGATGTTTTCCAAGAGGGAACATAACATCTGAAGGAAAGGACAAGTATAAATGAACACATCTGTAAAAACAATGTCCACCCCTTAAAATATTATGAAAAGGTTGCGTTTCTTTAAACATATTATTCTAATATAATCTGTTTGCTGAAACAAACTGGTCAGTCACACTTCAGTTACCAACACTTACTGTGTGATAATTGGTCATTTCCTGCAGGGTCTCAGAAAACTTCATCAGGCTGTTCTGTAAAAGAAGAAAAACAAGTGGGTAAAGTCAAATCCCATGAGATACGGATCAAAACATAAACCTTCAAAAAACTATAGTTTCTCTCTTATACCAAGGAAAATAGTCTATTTTTATGAGACAGCCTGAAGTCATTTTCCTAGAGAAGGATCATGAAACTATATTCAGTATACCAAGAGAAAGATGCATATTATCATCAAAGGAAGTATACATTTTTAACAACAACGTCTTCACCTAAAATTACAAAACAATAAAAGCAAATTATTGCTGCTTTAAACATACAAGTCAATTTGATTGGAATATAGCAATTTACAGCATCAGAGAATCTGGCCCGAAAACCACACTCAATGATATCACTGCATTTTCCATGGATAGTAAATAGCAGCAATTATCACAATTTAAGAACAAAATCATGTTCCACTTCCTTCTATTTCCTTCATAACTTCAAAAATGTCTCGCAAGAATCTCTACAATGTCTTCATGGGAAGTCTTTAATAAAGCAGCAAACCCAACTCTTTCTGAGCAACTGTCTAAAGAGATTAGCAAACAATCTTAACAAAATGCTACCAGGAACCAAACCTTTTCATATTTCTACTGAATAAAATTAGACCGGATTTTAATCGGAAGCTAGCTAAAATGTATGCATTTTTAGCCAATCTCCAAAGAAAAATTCAGCCAGTTTTCAAACTTCATCCTGTAAACATAAAGAAAGAAATTGTAACTTCCTGATTTAGCTAAAATAGCAAATAAATCTTTCTATCTAGATGGAAGTAAGGTGTGTGCATGAAAATATAAACGGTTTGTGTATAACATACACAGGGTTTACTTCAATATATAAATGTGTACATGAAAAAGTATACATGTGAAATAGCAAATAAGGCAAAATTTGGTGAGTGTGAGAAATGCAAAGAGAAATTTTCATATAAGTTTCAAAACAAAAACCATATATTAGGTATAACTTCTACAAATTTACTAAAAAGCATGTTATTATGAGACTATGCCACTGCTGAAATGGAGCCCGTGTGCTGAGAATTAGGCCAGAAAAGCATTTTATCTACAAAAAAGATGTTTTACCCAAGAGCCGTGATTTAAACTTACACTATTTTTTGGTGTTATTGTTGTCAAACCCAAGAGCAATAGGTCTGAGGCTGTTCAATAAATCAGCCTCCTCTTTCCCCCACATTTAGTAACACAGGAAGATTCATGGCAACTGTTTATCCTGCTGTCCAACCACCCAAGATAAGAGCCCCTTTTTATAGAGGATTTCTGCAGGAGATATGCCACAGCCCAGAGAAAAGAAAACCTCCTGATAAAGTGGCATGTGTCAATGGCTGGTAAACGCATTAAAGGAGAAGTAGCAAAAAAAGAGCTATAATGTAAATGAATGAGATTACTTCTACACCTGCTCCCACTCCAGTAGAAAGTTTTCCTTATTTTCTCTCCAAAACTTGTCTCTCTCTCAAGTGCTTACCTCAACTAGTACATCCTTACTGGAATACTGTGCAAGGTCTCGAATCCCATTCATGAACTGATTGTTGGCAGCACAGAAAGCTTTGCCGGTATCAATCATTGCAATACAGAGCTTCACTAACTGAAAGAAAAAACAATAATTGCAGTCAAAGAGTTGTATAGTATATTCCTTTGTTCCCCCCACACTGTCAATTAATTGCCTATAAAAGAAAAATGCTTAGAAAAGCTCTCTCTCTAAGCACCAGAAAGAATTACACTAATAAGGGCAGTAATAACTAATTTTATTTAAATAATAAGCCAAATTATTACAACAAAAGGCAAGATGCACTGGATAACCTGAACTAACATTACGCTTTAAAGAAACTAGTGATTTGATTCAGGTTCTTCAAAAATAGTCACTTAACACAGCTTGATTCCTTGTGCATTTAACCGGGGAGGGGCAGGAAGGGAGGAGGGGGTAGAGGCCCCTCGCCTGCCCCGTGGCCAGCTGCCTGCGCTGCAGCCGCTCACAGCCCGCCTGGGGCTGCCTGTGCCTGCTCAAGACAGCCCCGCCTGTACCACAGGGCTGGGGGGCACTGGGAATGAGCGAGTGAGAAGCCAGCAGGAGCACAGGGCCCGCACTGGTGTGTCCTGGGACCAGGGCCAGTGGGGCCCAGAGCAGGGCAGCAGGGGTACAGGGTCTCGGCCAGCAAGGACTCTATGGAGCCGGGCCAGTTCCCCCCTCTCCCTGATGGTGCAGGCCAGCCTGGCTTCCCAGACCCCTGCCAGCCTGCACCCCGCTTTGGGCCCCACCGGTGCTGGCCCTGGGACACTGGTCCCAAAATGGTGACCAGGGGATGGGGCACCTGTCAAGGGGTGGGGCTATCCATGCAGCCCTCGACAGCTTGCCAAAACTGGTAAGCAGCCCTCTGCCCAAAATACTTTCCTGCCCCATTACAGCCACATTAAACATGTTTGGGGCTTTTCTGCAAAAAAGAAAAAAGAACCGTTTCATTTAGAGGTATCTGTAAGAAAAGCAAAGGAAGCAAAGAGCTAAAGTTACGGACCAGGAAGCAGCAGTGGCACTAATTCATGCCACTATCTTTTCCAGCAGCTGGCCCTTGCCAGGACTGTATGAAACGCAGGTTCAAGTCCCTTCTCTACCTACAGGGATTTCAACCCTGCCCTGGAGTATGTGAACCAGCTCACAATGGGGTATTCTGGCACGGCGTGCTCCAAAGCTCTCCTATGTCTGAATGAAATGCTCAAATACTCACTGAGCCAGAGTGAAAGAGTGACTAGCCTGGTGGGTAGGATGCTCTCCTGAGAAGTGGAAGAACTTGGCTCCCCCCTGCTCCAAATCAGGCAGAGAGCAGATATAACACTAGGTCAAAGAGCAAGACAGAGGGAGTGACTATATAGACTGGTGGGGGAGGGTCTCACCTGACAGGCAGAAATACCACTTTGCTCCAGCAAGCGTGAGTATTTCCAAAGCAGAAGAGCTGCAAGGCAGAGATTAAATGCACCCTACCCTATAATGCCCTGTATTCTGGCAGTTCTCCTGGGAACTAGAGACGTGGGTTCAAAGTACACTGGGCAGAGGAAAACATGAACCTAGGTCTCCCAGTGCTGGACGACTGTCCTAACCATAGGGAAGTAATTGTACTCTCTAATCCAACCGTCACCACCACCCCTTGTTTTGGGGCATGCTCTGTGAATCTAGCCATGAAAAAACTCTGTGAGCCAATAGGGCAGCTATAGTGTATGATCTGTGAACTATCAGAATTGTACTCATTACTCTGTAAATGCATACAGACATACTGTCCCTTAAGCAAGAAAAGAGACCTCCAGACAACACAATTAACTGTATTATTCACACTGAACAAACACAAATATCCTCTCGTTTCTCACTGTATAAAGCAGAGGTATTACAAGAGTTATCATAAAACTTTCAAGAAAAGGATCTTCCAGATGTGCTCGTACATCATGGCGAACACATTCTGTAGGAGTTCCTATTCCTATCTCCATGCCAGAGTTCAAAGCAAAACTGACTCAACAGCTGTTTCTTAGGGAGAACCAGCATTTTGTCTCCCCCTCATTTTACGGCCTTGTTGGCAGTGTTGACACAAGTTTTAGAAAATAAAAGGGATACACACTGCTGTTTTAGGATTAAAACGTAGTTTTTAACTAAGTTTCTTAGTTTTAATCATACAGATAATGAATCATATAACCTCATGTAGCTGATGTACTACTAGGCAGCAGCTCTTTGCTCATACAATACGGTAAGTGCAGGGTTATGCAGAGACCCAGACCCGCTCCCTTCCCCTGCAAAGCCTCCCTTGTTTTCTGCAATGAACACTCACCAAACAGGCATGCTAATAAATTCTGAGCACTTCTTGTCTAGTGTGTTAAGTGCCTTTTGCAAGGAAGAAGCCAATTTATGGGCCCATGGACAGCATCCAACTCAGTTAAATTCCAGCTACAGGGAAGACCAGAGATAAGGAAGACTCCTTTGTAAATCTTCTCAGCGCTCACTCTTGCCTAACTGACCCTTTCTAAGGACCACTAACAAACTGGTTTGAGCTGGTTCTCCGAGACCCCAAGAACTACCTAAAACTTCTCTTAGTCACGCCTCCCCCGTGAAGCCTCCTCCCACTTTGGACTGACAATCCAATGCAAAACTTGGTAAGAAATTCATGCCACATATTTCCCCAAAAACTCTTCCTTTCTGCCAACGTGCTGAATTATTGGTGCTATGCTAATGAAGTCCATCAGTCATCTAACTGTCTTATACATTTTTTTTTTTTTAATCACTTGACCAAATAGGGATTTCAGCAGGGTGCCATGTGGTTAACTGGCCAGTAATCAACTGAACTCTCCTTAAGCAAAATCATTACGTAAAGTATTACCCACTGAAAGTTCTGCATCACAGTTAATAGGTGTTACTGCATTTACATGTGTTAGCAATGTGCAATACTGAGCCTGTTATATTTTTAAATAGGCAATCCTTCAGTGTTATTTTTCTCAACCATTCTGATTTGACATTTTATTCGTAAAACATGATCTCATTCTTGTCAGTTTTCCTTACCCAAGTATGCTAAAAATATTTAATCTCAGCTGACTTGCCCTCCGACAAAGCCTTTCATGAACAGCTTTAACACAAATTTAAGGGGAAGGTTTAAAAGCAGGTTAAAGTAGAACTAGTCAAAATTCATTTGAAAACTCAGTTTTCCATCCAGCACCAGTTTCTGGTATAGGTTTTTAGGATGACAGGAAAGGCAGGCTGGAAAGGATCTCACAAGGTCATCTCATCCAGCTCCCTGCTCAGGGCAGGATTATCCCTGACTAAACCATCCCGGTCAAGTGACTGTCCAACCTGCTCTTGAAAACTCCTAAGGATGAAGATTGCACAGCTTCTCTGGGCAGCTTGTTTCAATGTTTGACCACCCTCATGGTCAGAAAGTTCTTCCTACTGTCCCACAGAAACTTCCTCTGCTGCAGTTTGAGGTCATTGCTCCTAGTCCTAGGGGTCAGGATCCTAAAAGTGTTCAAATGAACCTAGCTGTATGGAGAAAGGGATTTCAAATGTTTTTTTTTTCCCCTTACAAAAAGCATCAAATTACAGGCACCCCAATTCATGTCCAGCTGTCTGCTTCCAAATCCTCACTTTGGTTTTAGCCTGACTGCAGCTGGGACAGGGACATGTGTTTCACATGAGATTTTAAAAAAGCAAGTAAGCAGCAAAACTTTTGCTGTATGCTTATTAGAACAAGTTTGTTCCCACCTAAAACACATGCAAACAAGCTTGCTTCAAAAGGAAGCAAGTTTATACAAGCTTGCAATTCAAGTAAACAAAGTAAAAAAAAAAGTACTATTTGCAAAGTCCAGCTTCATACAGCACAAAGTCACAATCCAAGCAGAATTAGTTAAAGGTGATGTAATGGCCAAAAAGAGTCAATTGATTTTTAAAATACTTGTAACTGTGAAAAGTTCATTAAAGACGAGTGTTGGAATTGAGAGGGTGAATTTGCACTTCTGGATTACAGCAGAAATACAACAGAGCATGCCCCTTTGGAAAACTTATTTCCAGTGATATCCCCACTTTTGTTGTCTATTAAAGAAATAAGGCCACAATCTCTACAGTTCTTTTACTTTTACATTTTATGGCTATTGCATCACTTTATAAAATGTGAGAGTTGCATGGTTTACTTGCCTACAGTGGAGACTATATTGCCAAGTCTGATTTAGCACTGCACAAATGTGTCACGCACAATGTGCAACTGCACTGCCAAATGTACCAGCTACATGTTCAGATACCACTAAGCACAAGACAACGTCAGTACTCACCATGGAAAAGCAGAAACTGAAGATTCATTTAATCCTACTAAACAATATCATTTTTTTAAGTTTACAGCATACCGATAGTCACATTAAGCATCTTACCTTATCGAGTTTCAGTTCTAATTCTGTCACATCTCCTTCCACTTCTTCTAAAGCAGCCCTGCAAGATTAAAATAATATGTTGCACACCAAGGCATTACACAAAATATACTTTGTGACTACATGCTCAGTTCAGGTCATTATCAGAAAAATACTGACTAATGAGATGTCTGTTGAAGAAGGGCTGGAGGGAATAACAGTAGGAAACCATTAGCTTGGTTAATGGCTACATAAAAGCATGATGGGGCTTACTAACATTTGGAGATATTAACACAGTAGGAAGGGAGGAGTTGTCGGGACTGGGATAGAAGAGGTAGGGGCCAAACGTATCGTCTCTCTTGGGCAGCTTGAAGCACAATGTGATCACGTATCAAACAACCCAGGGGTAAGGTTTGGAAAGGAAGTTTAGACTCAGTATCAGAGAAACAAAACATTTTTAAAAAAACTAGTGCCACTGCAAGACAATGCTAGATGATGCAGTTGCCCAGCTTTTTCCATCATGAATTCAGTCAGATTCAGTTTCTCTTTCATATTTTCATAGGCCGGTACAAGCTGCTTGCATTTCTAACACGCAAAACTCGGGACTAAAACAGCTTAAGTACTGGAACAACTCTACTGCATTAAGTGCAAAGTATATTATCACTGCTGCTACTTGAAGCACAGACAAATGCCTTACAGAAAAGACCCACTGACGACTCAATCTACATTTTCACTGACTGCCTGTCTTGTATGCAGACCAGCCCAGCCTCTGGCTTTTTTACTTTTCATTTCATCCAGAAAGAGCACACAACAACTGCAGGGACTTCCTCAGCCTGATGAAAGGTTTTTGAACCCGAAAGCTTGCTTAAAAGTTGTTCTCCAACTATTTAGCTGGTCTAATAGAAGATATCAGATTCACCCAAAGAACCTTGTCTTACAGAAAAGAAGTTTTACAGAGATTATGATGGTGCAAGATGTGCTCAGGTCAATGCCTTGCCACTCTAAAAGCATCCAAAAGTTGCACCACAAAATTCTAGTTGCTGCTCTCCGACAGAAACCCAAGCACATCCCTTCCAATCGGAGCTGTCTGAGAAGAGTCGCACTGAACCATTACCTACAGCAAACCCTGACAAGGTAAAGTGAAATAATTTCAGTCACCTACTTCTCTCAACCACGGGCTCTCAACCAGGGTGCGGTGGCACAGGCATTGCCCCCACGGCCAGGTGAGCGTGCCTGCGAGCCTCACGTGCAGCCCGACCAGGAGGATGCGGTACAGGCACGCGCTCCGATAAGCCTCAAGCAGACAGCAAAGCCCGCTGATGCCACAGCCCTTCCCAGTTTGGCCATCCCACGCTCCTCCTGGAAAGAGGTGCACAGGACAGTTCCACCTGCCCCTGCACCAGTTTCCAGGAGACAAGGTGCAGGGTTGGACCTGGAAGGGCTGAAGCACAAGTGCACACTCCAGCCTACTTTAAGCTTATCAGAGAGCCCTAATGCAGGAGAAGTGCCTGTTGGTGCCATAGCTCTTCCCAGCGCGGCTGTGCATGAGGCACGCAAGGTAATTTTACCTGGCCTCGACAGCTGAGAGCCACTGAGGTACGCCAAGACAGCACAGCGGGTTCTCAATCGGGGTGCTGCTGAAGTCAAGACTTGTGGAGTGGTTCCCTGAATCTATAAAGGTTGAGGACCACTGATCCAAGCCAGAGAGTCAAGCATCAATGCTGGGCTTATGACAAGACGGCTCTCTGGCTACACCACCATCTCTGAACATGGCACCGGCCCTTCGCATCCGAAGTTGCACAATGTTCTGCGATTTTGCTCGGCTCTTCCTCCGTGTTAGCACACTGGAACAGTCCCTTCCCACTGAAAATTCTGAAAACTCGCTGCAACGTACATTAATTCAAGCCAACAAATACAGAGCTAAAGCTTTCGGATCAGACTTTTGGTGCTTAATGGTTTCTACGGGACATGCTCACTATAACTGCAGCAACTGGCTCATACACAGCTATATTCTAGTGCATCTAAGAATACCTTCCAGAGTCAAAATGTGCAGACCAACAATCATGCCGCACAGTCAAGATCTCTTTGTTGCTCCTTGTCAAATAGCTTGCTTCTACTTAGTCACTCCAATAGATACCTGTTTTCAAAGAACGTGTGGAATTCAAATTGTACAAGAGGAGAAAGAAAGGAACAAGTATCTAAAGGTTTAGACATCCAGAGCACAAGTAATGATGGCTTCATTCCTCAGTGGGTCTGCCAGATACAAAAATTACTTCATTATGCTCACTGACAGAGCCGAGGACCAATCAGTAATGGGTTTTCACTGCATCAGACTCTTGACAAAAAAAAACAGGGAGCAGCAGCCAGTCCCTGCTGCAAAGAAGTGGCGATCTGAACAGGCCGGACAAGCCCAGGTTGTAAGCAGAGGTGGGACATGTCAAACAGTCCAGTGGTAGCAGAAACACGTTCACTTCAGTCTTTTTCTTTTTTGGAGGAGAAGGAAGAGGAAGGAACTGACTAAATGGAAACAAAAGGGCAGGAAGGGCAGATGCTGGAGGATGGTCCTGCTTTGAGCAGGGGGTTGGACTGGACGTGACCTCCTGAGGTCCCTTCCCACCCGCATTGTCTGTATTTCTAGGACACAGACAGGTAGGCAGGACAATAGAGAAGAGCTGACATGCAGGTGTTCTTGAAGCCAAGATGAAGACACTGACGAGAAGGTTTAAAAGCAAAGAACAAATCTCTTTCTCCTCGTTCTGCCAAGTCCAAGTCAAAATAGAAAGGTCTCTGAATGGGCCATTTCCCCACTAGCTCATTGACCTCTGCAACTGTCCTCCCACGGCTACATAGTGAGAGAGGTGCTGCCCACAGTCCCGGGCAAGCTCTGGGCCCTGGAGCTACCAAGGAAGAAATGGTGGCCCCACTTAGACCCCATTTAACCCTTCACATCTGGGCCCAAAGTTCCCTTGCTCTGGCTGCTTCTCCAGCTCATCCTAGCATCCAGAAACTCTTGTGGGTAAGTTCACTTGACAGGATCAAACCAAGGATAAATGATTAGGAAAAAGATAGAAAATAAACCCTGTCCTCCTGCACTGAGCATAGCCATATTAATACATGATGACACTTTTCAAGCTATTCAGAGAGAATGAACGAGTGCAAGGTTGGAGCACGCACTCTGGACAGCTGACTGAAGTATGTTTTACTAGGATATGCACTCGCTTCTTCAGCGTTTACTTGTTTCTTCTCGTTTTAGCTGCTCCAAGCAAAGCAACAGAATATAAAATAGGCCTATTTTCTCTACTGAAAACATCTGGGACGGGGATTACTTACAGTTCACATAACATTCTCATAATTCAGACCAAGACCCTACTCTGAGCCAAAACAAAACTCTCCTGTTATAAATGCAGGAAACAGTCATAGAGCAACAGCGAGGACTGGACGTCAATTGTGACAAGTACCAAGAATGTTTGTCCTTCGTGAATTAATGTCCAGAGAGAAGTGGAAGCTGGAACTGGGGCTTGGGCCAGCAGTCTCAGCCAAATAGCTCTGCAATTAGGACTAAAGGAGCAAATCTTCCAGTTCAACTCAGTGCTGATGCAGAGCAAAACATCTGTGGCGTCCTCAGCTGTTCAAACTCAACAGGAAAGCCCAAAACCAGAACAGCTGCTGCAGGGAGAATGGTTTGTGCAAACAGGTAACCCCTTCATACCACAACATGAACTCTCCAGAAGGCTGTTTCTCCTCCCCGTGACCCATGGGGCTTGGCGTGCTAAAGTAATCCTCTCTGCACTGCCTCAGCTGGAGGAGCAGAAGAAAGGATGGGAGAAGAATCTTTTTTAAAGAATAAAAACTGAAGTGACCCATGTCCCATGGTTCTTGAACTTTTTAGATGGGAGGACACCAAGCAGAGAACTCATCCCCTAGTGCCCACTGCCTCTCAAAATGTATCTAAGGCAATGGCCCTCAGCCTTTTTAGACTCAACGCACCCCTCGGTAGATTGGAGGCACCTCCCTGAAAACACCAGCTCTTCCTTTCCCCTGTTATTATTGTGCAGTCAGAAAACAAAGCAATTCTTCTGTTGTAAAAAACTCAGAAAGACCACAACAGGCCAGAATGATTTGAACATACTGGAAATCTCTGGTTTTATCTTGTGAATTATGTTTGCACACGTAACAGTGCTAACACTGCAAGGCACCCTGCAGCACGCTTGAAAAGATCAAAGCACCCCCGAAATCTATAGCATTAAAAATATTCTGACTACCGAGTTTTTTCTGAGCTCCAAACAGAAAAAGAAAGCTCTATTATTTTTCTGTGGTTAAAAGCCAGTGAAAACCTAAGAGGTTGCATTTTACAAGGAGTGCCTTGTGTTTAAACAGGCAGATAACCACTGGACTAGATCATTACATGCAGCCCATAAATCCACTTACATTGTCATACCTGTTGAATCGTAAGTCAAATAGTGTATCTGACAGCGTATTTCCTAGACCAGGTAGGATCCAGTGGTTTCTTTCCATCAGAAACCAGCAGCACATTAGTATAATCTACTTCCTACATAAAACAATAGTGACCAAAGCAACCAAGCTTGAGGATAAGTGTAGTGCAGCATAGCCTCTCCCCTCCAACCTGACCTCCTCCGCATAATCAATCAGTTAGAAGATTCGCAGTGAAACAAGGCATTAACCTGCAAGGATTTCAACAGGGGTATGGTACCAGGTAGGCATGAGGCACTTGGGGGCGGGGGTCTTGTTTTCTCTCTGAGACCCAGGGACGGGATGAGCTGCGATTCATGTCACTGCCTGACTACTGGTTGAACACACAGCTAGTCTTAGCTAAAAAGGCTTCTTTTTTTTTTTCTTTTTTTTTTTAATGACTCTCATCCTCTACCTCGATTCCCCCGTTTACGTGTCTTGTCCATCTATTAGGTCTTGTGTTTTAGACCATAAGCTTGTGGGAGCTGGAATTGTAGGTCACTATTATAAACTGAAAGGCTCAAAACCGAAGTCTTAAGATCCAGTCCCTATTGTATTTACAGTGGCAGAAGGCCAGTGAAAGTAAAAGGGAGTACAATACTTAATTGCTAT